CAGAAGCAGTTAGGGGAAATCAGGAAGGCAGGCAGGTGAGCAATTGGGAATCCTGGATTGTGAGAGGGATCACAGATTGGAGAGGGTGCAGGCTGGTCTGAAGGACACCCTCCCTCCTATGCACAAATTTTGTGCATAGGGCCTCTAGTATATATATAAAATAGGGAAATATACTAATTAACCAGGAAGGACATTGTAACAGGTCAACTGGACAGGAGAAGATTGCATGCACAGAGTCAGGACAGCAGGGCTCTCAAAGCAGGGCCTGATCAGCAGTGGCCAACCTGCTTCAAGAGTTGGAGAAGGAGCAGGGCTGGACCGAGACTGGAAGGTGGGTGGTGCCATGCAATTTCCTATTGCACCTCTGGGCTCCTAGTTCTTTATAAAAAGTATTTTGATCCAGTGCAACAAAATAAGTTGTGGACATAATCTTGCTTCTAATCTTATATAAATATCTTTGTGATAAAAGCTCTAGATTCCTAAAGCCTCTGTGATGCCCAAAAGGTTAGGAACAATCACCTGAAATTATAAATACCTTGAATGAGGACCATCTCTGTAACCTGCCCAGGCCCACTACACCTAGAAGAGTGACTGCCAGCTCTTAATACCCAGGGATGTTGATCATGTTAGTCATGCATGTGTTTTTTATTTTACTTCCTAAAGGATATTGACCAAGGAGTCAAAATTGTAAATAAACAGTTATACCCATCGATTTCAACTTTAAAATTGAGTGTAAGTCTTTTTTTAAAAAAAATGTTTTTATTGATTTCAGAGAGGAAGGGAGAGGGAGAGAGAGATAAAAACATCAATGATGAGAGAATAATTGATCAGCTGCCTCCTGAACACCCCCACACTGGGGATTGAGCTGGAAACCCTGGCATGTGTCCCTGACTGGAATCAAACCTGGGACCTTTTGGTTACCAGGCCAACACTCTATCCACTGAGTCAAACTGACTAGGGCCTATGTATAAATCTTTATTCCTTATCGAGTAAAGGAAGAAATCTTCTTTAGTAAATATACATTGAAGATGGAAGATCTGACTAGAAGGATGGAAAGTAAAAATGTATTTCCTTTGGTTGCTAACACAAAATGGTCAGGGGAAAATATGTTTCTGGTACTGAATTTCCTTACCGGATTCATCGAAGTCAAAGCCTTTACAATTAATGTAAATATCAGGAGGGTATGGATATTGTTATGGCGGGTTATGTCCTGTCAAAATTTGTATGTTGAAGTCCTACTCCTGAGGCTTCAGAATTTTACCTTATTTAGAGACAGGGTCTTTAAAGACATAATTAAGTTAAAATAAGGTCATTAGGGTGGGCCCTAATCCAATATGATTAGTGTCCTTGTAAGTGGAGGTAATTTGGACACAGACAGGGACAGATGGAAGACACAGGGAGAAGAGAGCCATCTATAAGCCAAGGAGAGGCGGCTGGAGCAGGTCTTCCTTTACGACCCTCAGAAGAAACCAATCCTGCCTAGACCTGGACCTTGGACTCTAGCCTTCGGAACTGTGAGACAATTCATTTCTGTTGGTAAGCCACCAGGCTGAGATACTTTGTATGGTAGGCCTAGGAAACGAATGCAGGTACACAGAATACATCCCAGGGAACTCCAGGCAAAGGCAGTGAATCCAGGCTAGGGGACCCTGGCCGGAACACTGAGCCTGGTCATAGAAGCAGACAGGATGACCACTCTTCTGGGCTCTGCCTAGGAAAAGGACCTAACATAGATTGGCACTTCTGAGGTTCCAAGTTTTAAGTACCTTTGTCACACATTAAATCTACTAGACAATGTGATGCCTCTGGTGTAGGAATCAAGACTTATGAGCTCTTTGGTTATTGTATCACAAAGAAAGTTAGGCTTAGTGGATAAAAGGTTGGCCTGGGGACCAAAGGGTCCCAGGTTCGATTCCAGTCAAGGGCACATACCTGGATTGCAGGCTCCTCTCCAGCTCGGGGTTTGTGCAGGAGGCAACCAATTAATGTATTTCTCTCATATTAATATTTCTCTCTGTCTTTCCCTCTCTCTTCAACTCTATCTAAAAATTAATGGAAAATATTATCAGGTGAAGATTAACAATGAAAAAAAGAAAGAAAGAAAGAAAAGAAGAAAATAATTATGTTCTGTAACAGACAATATTTTCCTTGTTCCTCACAGAAAATGTTACATCATAGTGACTCTCACTGTACCCTATCCTGTGAGAACAGACCAGACTAATTGGTTTGGCACATCCCAATAGATTTCGTAGTTGGGATTCTAAAAGGAAGTTTGAGGCCAGGAGGGAAAAGGTGTAGGGAAAAGTAAGAGTGAAGTGACCTACTGTCAGCCCAGGAACAAGAAAAGAGTTCTGAAATATTCTAAATTAAGAGTACAGCAACCAGAGAGAGAGAGAGAAACTAAACTAAACTAAACAAACAAACAAAAAAAATGCTGACATTTCTTTACATGTTGGAATTTAGAATTCATTTCAGGTGGCTATTTCCATGATTGCATAAAGGAAAGAATAGCCAGTCACCATAGAACCCTGAGTCTCTGCTTCTTATCCTACATAATAAAAGGCTAATATGCAAATTGTCTCCTCAACCGGGAGTTCAACCGAGAGTTCAACTGGGAATTTGACCAGAGGGCAGGGCCGGCCAGCCAATCACCTGCAGCCCCTCCCACTGGCCAGCCTAGCTTGATTGGCCCAGATCGGAGCAGGCTGGCTAGATCCCACCTGTGCACGAATTCATGCACTTGGCCTCTAGTTTACACATAAATTTTCCAATCTGCTGCCTGCAGCAAATCCATAGGAGCAGACTCTGTGACCCAGCTGCACTTACACCAGAACTGGCTCTGCTTCACCTTGTCTCATTCCTTTTGTCTACAGCTAATGGAAATCCTTTCAGAATGTCTTACTACCACCATCACATTATGTATTTAAAAAACACTTGCAAATCTCCTGGACAAACAGACATGCTGTCTTTTCTACCTAGCCATGATGCTGGGGGTCTATATTCCATGCCCCACGACCAGCCGCCTTCCCTTTCTTTCTTTCTTTCTTTCTTTCTTTCTTTCTTTCTTTCTTTCTTTCTTTCTTTCTTTCTTTCTAGCAATAGCCTATTCAAGCCTTTCTTTTAAAAAGACTTTCAACCCTCAAAGTTAAAAAGTTTTAACACAAGGTAAGGCATTCAAAGGCACACACTCTAGACATTTGCAGGGAGTTGAAGGAGAATTGTGTCTGCATCACTGAAAAGAATTTCAGTCATCTATTAGATGCTGCCATAGAACCAGAGAAAGCAATGAATTTCCATTCTTTTCCTTCATCTCTTCCCTCCCTTTGCTTTTTTCTCTCCCACCCACTCTCTGCTTCCTTCCCTCCATGCCTGCAAACAGAAAAGAGAAATACCAGATCCTCAAGTTGATGGGTTTTATCAATGCCTTTTTGCATTCCAATTACACTCTATGTCAAATTTAGTGTCATCAACATGTCAGTATCTTGTGTATATGATTGTGTTGTAACAATCCCGGCAGTTTCACAAGAAAAACAGATAATGTTAAGTCCCAATATCCTAAGCTGGGGAACACTGGGAGGCAAGCTGCTGAGTTTTGAAATATGAATTCTGAACCCAGGGTTGAGATTTTAGTATTTGTCAAATTCAAAGGAAACTGTCACTCGCTAGGTGCAATAATTCAAAAGGTCTTTCCAACAATGACCCTTCAATGAGAGATGTTATCTTCAGAGTTAATTAGTCTAAAAAAAGTGCACTTTAAAATGGTCATATTGTTAATTTCAGATAACATGTCCAGCTCTGTCTGAATTCACTACAGGAGGACTCGTGGTAAGAAACAATGTTAAAAAACATTTCTGCTTCCCTCTTTGTCCTGAGCCAGAATCTAAATTTATCAATGTGACTGAATGATGACAAGGAGAGCCACAGGGGGAACACCATGTTTAGGACAGGAAGCAGAAGCCAAAGAAATAGGGGAGCCTAGCCAGGAGCCCTTAGTAGGTTTTTTTTGGGGAAAGGTAAGGCAGGGCAGACTGAACAGTTTATGATGGGCTAGTTGGAGTACTTTCAGCTGGTCCAGGCCTTGGAGAGAGAAAAAAGTTTGATTCCACCCTTTTTGAGTTCCTCACTGGGTATGAAAACTAAACTGATATAGATCCATTGGTTATGCTTATGTGCATGCATGCTAGTCCTTCGGTTTGTCTCTTACCTTCCCCACCCCAACCCTCTCCAGCCTTCACGTTGTGGTTTGACAGTCTGTTCAATGCTTTTTTGCCTCTGTATCTATTTTTCTTTATCAGTTTATAACGTTCTTTATATCGCACAAACAAGTGAGATCATGTGGTATTTTTCTTTCTGGCTTATTTCACTTAGCACAATACTCTCCAGTTCCATCATGGCTTTCTTATGCAAAGATGGCTTTGACAGTAGAATCCTAAGTGGAGTGGAGGTGGAAGAACAGAGCTAAGGAAAAGGGCAGCATTGGTCCAAGAAGACCCAAAATGTGAAAAGTGGTCATGACAACTCCCACACTTAAAAACCTCTAGTGGTTCCCACTTTGGATTTTATTTGTTTGATAAAAATTTAGTGGGCACCTACTAAGACCCAGATACTGTTCATCACAGTGTGGCTATAGCAGCAAGTCAGAGAGACCAAATACCTGTTCTTAGGATGCTTACAATACAGAGAGGTGACGGGGTGTGTGTGTGTGTGTGTGTGTGTGTGTGTGTGTGTGTGTGTATAAAATCATGTTATGATATGTGCATATGAAAAAAAAAAATAGAGCAAGTCAAGAGGTTTGAGAGCATCTTTATTGTAAAGTCATCATTTGGCCACCATCTACATATCCCATTCTCAACACCACACTCAATGTTCCTTCTCAAGTTCCTTCTGTCTCATGTTCCCACACATCTCATTGTTCCTCATCTTCCAAGCCATAAACCTAGGATCTCTTCCACGACACTCTCAAAATTCTTCTCTGATAGCTTCAAAGTCTTGTTTGCATGCTAGAGTATTCGTTTTCCAAAAAAAACAAAAAATAATAATAAGAGCACTAAACTTGGATTCGAATGGGATATTTTATGTTCCGAGTTTAGAACGGTTTTTATACAAATATCATTCAGCATGCATACATCAATAGTAATTTTCTGTGTTAAATCAACTGCCTGTTCACAGTCCATGTTGGGATAGCAGCTGCACTGAAAATTGTCAGCAAACTGTCGCAGGTCGTCCACTGAGGCGTTCCCTTTGATTTTGAATTTTCCATTTGGCTCCGTTTCAATAGTGAGATGCATTGGGTTCAAATGGAGATACTCTCTGGAATCCAAGTCTTTCCTTGTGCAGTATCCTTTTTCCATGCAAAACACCTGGCTACACATTTTGGCAGCTAGGGTGATATTGATTATGTACGGATTCAGAACAGTATTCATGTAATTGTGTAGTTTTGTGCAGGTGGCCTGTAAAATTATAAGAAGGTCAGCATATCAAAATCCAACTTAGTTCATATGTGAATTTATACACTGCAATAGGGAACTGATAAGGAAACATGGGGGGGAGGGGAAGGAAATCCCAGCAAGCGTTAAGAAATATATATATATTTTTTTACCTTAACAAACAAACTTATTCTGTTTTTTGGTAACATTTATAAGTTTCGCATGTTATTTCATGCCACTGAAATAAATGACTGGTTGAGGTTTAACATACCTTAGCCTTTTAATTTATAAACTAGTGACGGGGGTGGGAGATGGGGGAGAGAGAGAGAGAATGTGCTCTGGGGCTCATCGTCCCTGATGGGATTGGACTCCAAGTGAACTTGTAAGTCTCACAAGCCTTCTACATCTTAGTTTCCTATCGAGGTGACCTTGGGCAAATGAATTAACCTGGCTGGGCTTTAGCTTCATCATCTGAAAAATAAGAACAGTTATAGCATCTACCCCAGGTTGCTGTTGTGAAGATAAAGAGATATGAGGTATATGAAAGTGTTTAGCCCAGGGCCCAGTATAGTATTAGTTAGCCTTCAAGAAATTATAAATCAATGTAAGTAGCAGCACTTATTAAGACTTGCCAGCTAAGTTTAAACAGCATTGGAAAGAGGGATTTCTAAATTGCTAGCTCAAAACAACCACACATGGCAACTGAGTATACTTTACATTAAATGTTATGTATCGTTCAGGTTATGGATGAATTACAACAACTCTTTCCCAAATATATATACTTAGTTGGCAGAGTATTGAGTGATGAGGAACTAAAATGATTCCTCTTGATATTAGTGCATTCTAAAACGGGGACACTGTCTTTTTAAAAACATAGGAGATAGTCACTTTCTTTCTTGAACAACAGTATCAAGTGAGCCGGCTGTGCTGGTCCTTCAGCAGACCAAAAGGACTGGTGGCGGTGGGTCAGCAAGTCAAGGAATCTTGGCAGCTTTCACTTGAATCTGTTTCTTGTTACGTTCCTTGGGGTGACACCACCGATGGTAGGCAGAATAAAGGCCTTTCAAAGATGTCCATGCCCTAACCCAGTGGTCGGCAAACTCAGTAGTCAACAGAGCCAAATATCAACAATACAACGATTGAAATTTCTTTTGAGAGCCACATTTTTAAACTTAAACTTCTTCTAACGCCACTTCTTCAAAATATACTCGCCGAGGCCATGGTATTTTGTGGAAGAGCCACACTCAAAGGGCCAAAGAGCAGCATGTGGCTCGTGAGCCACAGTTTGCTGACCACTGCCCTAACCCCCAGGAAACTGTGACTATTTAACTTACAAGGCAAAAGAGACTTTACACATATGATTGAGAGTATGGACCTTCAGATGGGGAGATTATCCTGAATTTTATCAGGAGTCCTTCGAAAGGTAGAAACTTTTCCAGCTGGGATTTTAAAAAACATTAGATGGAATAAGGGGGGGGGGGGGGAATCAAAGAATCAACCCAGCATTACTGGGTTTGAAGACAGAGGAGAGAGCCAAGAGCTGAGAAATATAGTGACCTCTAGGATCTGGAAATGACCCTTAGCCACAGCCAGTCAAACAATAGAAATCTCATTACTACAAGCAAGAGGATATTGCTTAAACCACTGCTTGTTGTAATTTGTATGGCAGCAATAGAAAACCTACTCTTTTTGTAAATTGATTTTTTAGAGAAAGAAAGGAAGAGAGACAAACGTGGATGTGAGAAACATGGATCAGCTGTTTCCCGCACACCCCCGAACAGGGGATCAACAACCTGCAGCCTGGGTATGTGCCCTGACCTGAATCGAACCCGCCATCTTTTGCTGCATGGGACCATGCTCCAACCAACCCTACCAGCCAGAGCAAGAACACTTCTTCCTAATTCTCCAATAGTTCTGCATGGTGTTTAAAATTTAACTTCTCTCCACTTGTTTATAGACTCATGTCATATAATCCTCTTTTTTTGCACTTTAATAACAGCTTTATTGAGACATAAATTCACATACCATTTCCCTTCCTTCTTTTTTTTGACACCTTCCCTCAGCCACTCTACCTTAGACATCCTAGTTGTTTCACAGCCATGGCAGTTTCATTTCAAACTGCACTTACTGTTCCCTCTGCTTGGAATACTCTTTCTTCTAGTTTCTAACATGGCTCACTCTATCTTGTCCTTCAGCTCATAGCTTTAATTAGATGATGAATAGCAAGAACCTACAGCCAAAAATACTCTACCCAGCAAAGCTATCAGTCGGAATCGAAGGCCAGATAAAGAGCTTCACAAATAAAAAAAAAGCTAAAGGAGTTCATCACTTTAAACCAGAATTATATGAATTGCTGAAGGGGGTTCTTTAGGAAGAGGAAGAAGATATAGATAAAAATTATGATCAACAAATACGTAAGTATCAACAAGTGAAACTAAAAGCCAAGGGAATTAAAAAAAAACCCTGATGAACAATATTAACTGGTGAATATAATAGAATCAGAGGTATGGAAGGGGAGTGGACTGACGATTCTCGGGGGGAAAAGGAGTGGGGGGTGCAGGAAGAGCCTGAACAAAAACTGTGCACCTATGGATGAGGACAATGGGGGTGGGGAAAGGGCAGAGGGTGGGGTGAGAACCTGGTGGAGGGGAGTAATTAAGGTGAGGGGGGAAAGAGGAACATTGTATCTGAACAATAAAGGTTTATTTTTAAAAAATAAAATAAAATATGGTTTAAAAAAGAAAAAATAAACTGCACATGATTTTCTTGTATTATGAAAAACTATTTTTTGTTTTTGTTTTTTAATCCATTTTAAATATCTGAACAATAAAGGTTTATTTTTAAAAAATAAAATAAAATATGGTTTAAAAAAGAAAAAATAAACTGCACATGATTTTCTTGTATTATGAAAAACTATTTTTTGTTTTTGTTTTTTAATCCATTTTAAATATCTGAAAATCACTCTTAGCTCATGAGCTGTACAGAAAGAAGCAAGCAGTATGCCAGATTTGGCCTATGGTCCTTGCTTGCTGACCCATGCAATAAAACTGTTACCAAATCACTAAGTGACTAAGTGGATAAAGCAGTGCTTAATGAACAGTAGTTGAATGAGTGAAAGAATGATTGCATTCATTCTTTTGAAAAGAGATAAAGCATGGTGTAATAAAAAAGGGGGAAAAAATCAACCACACACTGTCTGAAAACTGAGATTGTAGCCCTAGAGCACTCCAACTAGTCTCATTGAATTTCTGTTTTCTCACTGAAAAACAAGTACAATATTTTATGCCCCCAAAATAACCGCACAAATGATAGTATGATTCAGCCAGTATTAATTAAGCACCTCCTGCTGTGTGCCAAGTATAGTGTTTATTTTACTATTTAATACCTCAACAATCCTCAAAAGCATTACAATTAAAAATGTTTTCATCTATGTCTTACCAATTCAACTTACCACGCTTTGACTTAAATTGAGGCTCCCCCATATTATAATTCCAGAGGCACCTAGAGAAATAGTTTCACCAAGTGTATGCATAAGGTCCTCCTGGCAAATGAGACAGAAAAGTTAGCAGATAGGAATAAACTAAAAATGTTATAGATAGGCCGAAACTGGTTTGGCTCAATGGATAGAGCATCGGCTTGGGGACTGAAGGGTCCTGGGTTCGATTCCAGTCAAGGGCATGTACCTTGGTTGCTGACATATTCCCAGTAGGGGGTGTGCAAGAGGCAGCTGGTCGATGACTCTTTCATCGATGTTTCTAACTCTCTATCTCCCTTCCTCTCTGTATAAAATCAATAAAATATATATATTTTTAAATGTTATAGATAGGACAATAACACCAAAGCTAAGAATGATGACCCAACAATAATAATTTAAATTTTACAAAATTTTTATCTATTATGAAATACAATTTTTCTTTTGTTTTCCCCACTAGATAGTTCCATCTTTCTTTCACACTACCACTACCCTACTATGAAAAAAAAATACAGGTATTCTATTATTTTTAGTACTTCTATTGACAGTAGAGCAGGCCCATGAAAGGAAAAAAAAAAAGAAAAGTTAAAATATGGCCTCTACCACCTAATCTTCCATGGTTGCTAAAATGATTGCATTAAAATGAAATGTATTCTTATTTTACATGCATGTGATAATGCAGAACTATATATGTGCATATTTCTAAAGGATATTAAAAGATAAGTTTCATTCCCTTCAAAAATGATGTTAAGCTGCAAAACTTTTATTCTCTGGAGCATTTGACATCTTGCTCCTGACATATAGTTGTCAGTTTAGCTCAAATTCTCATTAAAAAATGTTAATGATGTTAAATTCTATCTCACTCTATTTGTGGGTTCTATTTCATAGTCCTCATACCTTGATTTGCTCACCTCATTAAGGTAACTTGAAGAGTAATCAGTAAAAACTGGGCGTGCATATATATAAATCGGAAGTGGACTTGTAGCATTGGGTACTACAGAAACCCGAATGGCTTCCTTAACACGGTTACGGACAAAAGGTGCAGCTAGTGGAGAAGACGATAGGATGGTATTCAAATAAATGGATGGGTAAAGAGCAGTGCTTTCAGTCCACATCCAGTTGAGCTCATTATTTCTTTTCTTTTCTAACTCAAAGCAAGTCCCATTGTAATTGGGTTTAGTATAATGATGGTTGTAACAATCAGGGAAAAGATAATAACCCCAAAAGTGTTTTGGTCGAAGCTTTATACCCAATTTCAAAGTTTCTACCATGAAGTTCCTTCCTGCTGTTTCATAATTTACTTTGGCTACATTTGTGGCTTGTGCAAGAGTAAGGGTTGCATTTTGTTGCTGAACCAGCTTAATAGACTCATCCCTGTAAACGTCTTTAGGTCTCCAGTTTCTTGCCCAGATAGGCCTCCATTCTTCCCAATCAATGATAGCCAAGCCCGGCTTGTCTTTAGGCATGTAGTTGTCAATGTCTTGCGTACATTTAGTCAGATGGGCCTGTAAGTCACCCAACTGGGGGATTCCTCCATGCTCTTTGTTGCCATGCTTATCTATATGAGGATATAAGCCAAGTCTATCAACATAAAATAATATAACTGGTTGGTCTATGGCATCTTTTGCAGGGTTTCCTATTAAAGGGAAGAGGCTCAAATCTATCGACACATTAAACCTCTTGGAACAAGGCTGAGTTGGGGCATTCCAAGCCCAGAGGAAAGGATCATCTGAGAGAAAGGGGGTTGCTCTGTAGTCCTTAGTGAAGCAACATGGAATCAGAAGGAAGATGAACACAACCTGGGATGCTCCATTGCACCCAACAAAGCTCCTGAAGGAGATATGCTCCAACCTTAGCACTCCCATGGCAAAGAGCAATGACTACAAAAGTCACATTTCTTCCTACACACTTGGGTTTCTCCAATGTTTGATGCAAGATTTAAGCACAGGAGACAGACTCGTGGAATGATGCTTCTCTGCTGGGTAAAGGTGTATAACGAAATTACTTTTAAATATTATTCTTCCTGTTTCATATTTTAGGGAGATATTGCAAATTGCTTCATCTATAACTGAAAAAGAAAGAAATATTGAATCTGTTATACTATATTTCTGTATCAGAGATTGTAAGCTTTACCAAGTTCTTAATTTTAAGTATAGGGAGTTTAACTCAATCTTTGAAGATAGAAGACTCCTGTATTTGAATTAATCAAGTCATCTCCTCTTATGTATGATACAAACCCTATAAGAGCAAACATTTGTCTCCTTTTCTCAAATCATTACTATGCAGCTGCGACTGGTGTACACAGCTATTTTTCCTCTTGCCTTCCCTGTTGTGCAGAATGCTGTACCGATTAATGCCTTTCCAAAGCCCCTTAAATAAAAATAATTTCCAAGTTGAACCTCTCATTCCTGTGTAATTTTTAAAGACCAATTTATAGTGTTCTGCCAAAAATTTAAAACAACCTCTCATAGAACTGTGAGATTTTATTTTTTTAAGAGGGGGTGGTAGAAACAAGAAAAGGCAGAATTCACTTCTGAAATAGTAAATCTAAAGTTTCCTTAAAACTACTGACTCTGTCAAAATCACCTACTGAAGTGGTATTTGGAACAGAGCTTTATTGTATCTCAATTCCTCATCACTTTCTCACAATCTACAGCCCCTAGCTCAAACCCCTGTTTTTCTGTCTTCCCACACCTGCACGATTTATCATCCTTTCTTTAAATAATATATAAGCTCTCAGACCTATCCTATGCTTGGTACTTCATTTCTTTTCTAAAAAGTCTCCCATGCCACGTAAAAAATATTGACACCAAATAAATGTTTTCACACTTTGCTCCTGTTCATCTCTCTTTGGTCAGTTTAGTTCTCAAGTCCAGTCACAAAATCACCTCCCCTACAGAATTCTCCATGGTCAATTTAGTCTTTAATGTCCTCCCACTCAATGTGAGGAAATTTTCTTGTCTCAACAAGAAACCATTTTGATGATGTGGCTTCAACAAAATTCCACTGAAGAAGAAATCCTGTTATAGCACATGTTAAATTACCCAAATTTAGCAATCAAAAATGTTATTTTAGTATATATTTATGGAACTTGGATACCTGATAAAACATATACAGCATAAATATATGCATGTGTCTGTGTCAAGAGGTATATTAACTATCAGTAAAGTTCATATAAGACATTAAATCAACCTTCAAGTTTTGGCCTCACTTTCTTTTATATATTAGAGACAAATTTTATATATACTTTTAAAAAAGTGTGAGTAAAAAAAAATTTTTTTTAATGGCAAAGTCACAGAATCCTTTTGTATTAAGACATCTGTCAGTGAAATATCATAAGATAAATGGGTTTGCACGTGTCCTATTAGCAATAACCAATGTTTTTTTCCAATGACCAGTCAAGATGACTTTTGTTTGAATTATCAACATCATAGTTGTTACTTCTACATATGAGATTATATCAAGGATCCAAATGACCACTGTAGTCTAACACAAACAGAAAACACCTCTTTGTTCATAAATTACTTTTGTCCAAAGGTGATAGGGACCCAAATGGTCCCAACATAACTAAGCACATTTAATAATGCTGAAGATAAATGCCATTAAAGAAAAAATATATATTGCAGAAACCAGTTTGGCTCAGTGAATAAGAGCGTTGGCCTGTGGACTGAAAGGTCCCGGCTTCGATTCTAGTCAAGAGCATATACCTTGGTTGCGGGCACATCCCCGGTGGGGGTTGTGCAGGAGGCAGTTGATCAATGTTTCTCTCTCATCAATGTTTCTAGTTCTCTGTCCCTTTCTCTTCCTCTCTGTAAAAAAATCAATAAAATAGACGAAACCGGTTTGGTTCAGTGGATAGAGCGTCAGCCTGCAGACTGAGGGGTCCCAGGTTCGATTCCGGTCAAGGGCATGCACCTTGGTGTGCAGGAGGCAGCTGATCAATGATTCTCTCTCATTGATGTTTCTAACTCTCTATCTCTCTCTTCCTCTCTGTAAAAAATCAATAAAATATGTTTAAAATTATATATATATATATATATATATATATATATATATATATATATATACTCAACTTCACAAGAGAATGGAACAGAATTTTTTTGCTCTGTAGAGATCCTGGAGAGATACCTGGCTTTTAAATGACCACCTAGGCTGCAGACTGATTTTTTTTTTCCTTTAGGATAGAGAACTGGTTCAAAAATATCGTCAGCTTTAATTGATTTGTTAGTTATCTTTCTAAAAAGCCTTGTTCTGTGGTCTAGCATGAGAATGCATATTTTGTGAAAGCAAAACTCTGGCTGAAGTCTCAAGCAACCAGATATTTCCCCAGCATATTCATCCCTTCCTCCACTTCTGAAGAATGTGTGGCGACTCAGTCTAGACCGGGAATCAAACCATGACCTCCCGGTTCACAGGTCAATGCTCAACCACTGAGCCACACCAATAAGATGTATTTTAGAGGTTACAAATTATCAGAGACTATAAAATAACATAATCTAATCTAATCTTATTTTTTCAGATGCTGCCATTTCTTTAGCTAATGGTGTCAGACAGTCTAAGATTAGAATACTAGTGCCCCATAGCAGTACTGGAAATATTCACTGGTGTCTCCCTTTACAGTGTCTTTTTCCACCCCTGCTTTTTACATTGATTTTTAACCCAGTTCTATCTTACGGAATCTCCCACCTCATGGATCCTACTCCTGGCTAGTTGTTTATTTAATTTTAAGCTACCTAATTCTGGTGTTCTTGTTCATTACAAGGCTGGTTAAATACATTTGAAGTGAACAAGTCACTCTCATACAGAGATAAAAGTATGAAACAAACACAGCACATTTTCTGAGACAGGGGACTGGGTATTATATTGTCTAGTACAGTATAAAGTTGATGGACCTTTTTGCTATTATAACTAACCATCCTACTTTGCTTCTAAAATCAAACTCATTTGGAAAAAAAAAAGGAATTAAAGCTTACCCTAATTATCTTCAAATGTATGCATTTAATTAGACCCCATTGCAGGGCTTGTACCTCTAAACCACCTGCCTGGTTTCGGCTTAGATCATTTTAAAGAATGGTGACATCTTTTATTAACTTTTTCATTCAACATTTGTGTGTATTTACTCCAAATGATTAATGTGTTAGCATGGCAATAGTTTGCTAAATTTTGATCAAGAAAATAAATATACTACATGCACACTTACTAATTTTCCAATGTTTAGAAACAGTGTCTATATTATTAGCCTTTGATTGGAATATCATGTTTGAGAGACACATGCATAGACTCAGATATGACCAGACAACCTTAAAGAACAAAGACTGACTTTATGGATGCTAATAAAGGGCCCTTGGGAAAAATCAGCCTGGTACATGGCTCTCACTTCCCAGCAGCATTATCAGATCAGTAAGGCAGGTTACCAGCACCTCAGGATGTTTTGGGGAACTTGAGGGTAGAAGAGTTAAGCCAAATCTAAGGTCTTACAGGCAAAGTGTGATGGCAAATATCTGGCTTGGCTTCTCAACATCTAGAGCAGTGGTTCTCAACCTTCCTAATGCCACAACCCTTTAATACAGCTCCTCATGTCGTGGTGACCCCCAACCATAAAATTATTTTTGTTGCTACTTCATAAATGTAATTTTGCTACTGTTATGAATCATTATGTAGGTATCTGTGTTTTCCAATGGTCTTAGGTAACTCCTGACAGCGGTTCTCAATGTGTGGGTCGCAACCACTTTATCAGAGGTCGCAACCACTTTATCAGAAGATTTAAAAGAGCCTATATGACCCATTGCTCTTATTCCTGCAGTGATATAAACAGGGCAAGGTTTTTGAAATTGGACTTTTTTACAAATAAATTAGAATATATAATTTTTTATTGATTTCAGAGAGGAAGAAACAGAAACATCAATGATGAGAGAGAATCATTAATCAGCCACCTCCTGCACTCCCCACACTGGGGAGGTGCCCTGGCAGGGAATCGAGCTGTGACCTACTGGTTCATAGGTGGATGCTCAACCATGGAGCCATATCCGCTGGGCTAAATTACTCTTAATGTGGCTATATTTGATTTAAGAAATTAGGGTGATATTAGACAGAAAGAAAATTATGTTTCTATAGAAAATGTATTACACCCTTGTGGGTTAAATTCAAGTTCTGTTCATCATCTTTGAGATTTTGTTTTCCTACCTGTAAACTGGACTGGACCTTGAATTCTTCTATAGTCCACAAATATCTGGCTACAATTATCCAACCAATGTTTCCAATTTCTCTCCCACTTTAGACTTGGAATCCCTGAGAACTAACGCTGCCTTTTCTCTGAAGCCTTAACACTGAAGCTGAACAACCTGATATAGCCTTAAGAGAGATCAATCACCACAGTAGCTCATGCTTAGACCACCTTCATGCCTGTTGTTGTGCAAGCCATTCAGAGAGTTTACCTGAACACCCAGTGTCATCACAGGAGACATTCCCAGCTACAAAGGTTGCTTCAACTCTAATATCAAGGAAACTGCTTGACTGGTGACCACCAAGACCCAGAAACTGGCTTATACCTTGCTCCAGCCACTGACTGACCTTTGTCTATCTTTTGTTTCCATAGAAATGCTTTTTATTGAATACCTGGTTGCTTGCTTACATAATAAAGGCCTAACTTTGAATCCCCACCTACATCACCACCTCCTGAGAAGAAATGAACTGCACTGACCAACTGTCAGGATACCTGGTTTGATGAGATGGTGGAACTGTAGGGGAGCAAGATGTGCCACCCCAAAAGGTGTCTCTTTGACATGAGGATTAGTTTAGGTTGAGTGTTTTTAAGAAACAGAAAACTTGGTATTTCTTGTTAATTCCCCCTTAATTGCCTAAAGAA